GACCTGATGAGTCTATTTAAGAACATGAATCGAGTTTTTACGTTATTTTTTAGCATCTTGCGATGTTAAACAATACTACACCTAGCGCAAGCTATTCTACGTACAGTTTCCTTATGTTTTCTTAATCCATGCGTGATATACGCTTAGGCGATCATGTATCTTTCGATACATGACTGACGAGGCAGATTTTTACCCGCTGTAGGTTGCCATTTCTTTCTAACGTAGACCAGTTGCCATCCAGGGCTAGAGAACCCAACCTGTCCTGCTATTTACCCATAGCTATGAGAAGAAGAAGAGGATTCATACCTTTCCCAAGGGTATTACCACGTAAGTGAATATAATGGATTCAGCTGAAATTCGAACTCAGCTCTCCGATTCCTTAATCCGAGCCGCTATCCATTACTCCACCGCGATTCTAAATTGTTGTATAATTGATCCATGCACCGTGAAATGTTTTTAATGTATTCCTATAATTTTATTACTGATTCAGGGTAGGTGCCATCACTGCTTTCCTTTCCGTTCCGCCTCTGTACCTTGGAACACTTGATAGAAAAAAAAAACCTAGATTTATTAAACAATCAATATATTTTATGTGAAAAGAAAAACATAAGTAGGTCTTAAAAATGTTCTTGTGGACCTGAAAAATACTGAGCATGTCCGAGCTTTAGTTTTGAAACAAAAATACTTCTGTAAGAGCTTCGTAAGCTCTTACAATTTCTTTCGCCTGTCTATAACAGTGTTTTAAACAACATACCTCTGTCAAGGTAAACAATACGTGTAACAGCTTTTTACAAGATAGCAACTCGCTTATCAGGAAGAGGATTGCCAGCATAAGCGTTCAATCGCCCAGTCTCTTCCGTTTGAAGCAACAGAAATGTCGTTCTACAGAAACATGTTGAGAATTCTATAGAATTGGCGTAATCAAATGAAGACGTCTTGAGAAAAATGATAACAATTCGTTTATATTCAGAAACAGAAACACACTGAGGAAATTTCTTGAACACATAGTGAGGAAGGTGTGATTGGAGAATTTTTACACTCGCAAATCCTATCGAAGAAAAAAAGGACAAGGAAAAGTGTTAGGTACTTACCAGTATAGCTTGTGCGAATAGAATTCGAAACTGGAATGACGTGCTGGGAAAAGTGACAACGTTGCTAAGTGCTACAAGAGATAGGTTGTAAAATGCCATGATCGCCCACGTCTTAAAGGAGCACGACACATAGAAGAAGATTTGGTGAAGGGATAAAATGGAGAGAGAAATAAATTCATGTCTTAGCATTAGTAGCAAGTGAACACGACAGGCAAAAGTAGTGATCTGAATAATCAATTCTTTCAAAGATTTTTAATTCAACTGATCGATGCGTTCGATGTATTATGGGCATGATCATAAACTTTGTACCATTAACCGATATTTTTGTGTGTTTGACTTCTTGAAGAACTTGTGCTTGTTTACCCTTTACACGTCTGGTTTTCCCTTGTGGACAGAAAGATTGATCTAAATCTCAAAATACCAGATTTTCTTGTATTTTTTTTTTTTGGTTCGGTGGAGGCGCAAATTTTGGCTCTCTTTATTTTACCGTTTCCATGTTTATCATGGTCAGGACTAAAACGAGAGCATTGCTTTCTTTTGTTCAACGTATTTGGCATACGCATTTTTTATCTTTCGGACAAGCAGTTTCTTTCGATCAGGGAGAGTGTATGTGTGAGAAGAACTTGGGACTTCGCAAAGGTTTGTGCACCAAATAACCCGTAAATTCGTTTGCGCTTTGCACTGTGTACGCTAACGCCCTAACGAGCAAGTTCAGCGCAAAACGTTCAAAGAAAGACAATTTTCAATATAAGCCCGAATCCTAAAGACTTTCCGGCACTGTAAATAATAGACATTCCGTGTACTTGAAGAAAGCAAAGATAATTGATGAGCGTCGATGGAAAGTTTGGACGGCGTTTTTGGGAGTGAACGATTTTCAAATGAAAATGTGACCTTGCGTTTGAAATATTTTTTCTTCCTCATTAGAATATCTGGGATTATAAATTATCATTATTTACATTCGGACTATCGTTCGTTTCGGCCGTTGTCGCCTTCGGTCTTCAACAATTGTATATCGATCCGGATAACCTACAAATAATTTCCAATTGAACCCTTTATTTAATTTACGGGGTTAAATTATTCTGAGAACATGGGCAGTGACAAAAACACAAACTACCCGCGTAGATTAAATAAAGACTTCGAATTTCCCTGTAGGTTACCCGGATTAACATACACCTGTTGAAGACCCGAGGGCGCAATTGCCAAAAACGTGATAGAATTTAATTCATTCGACATTTTCAAACGACTAATTTATATTTCCATTCTGTAAGTTGTTTAACGGTTTTGCTACTTTAAATGTTAAGTGCCAAAACGCCATAATAAAACATCTCTCTCTCTCTCTCTCTCTCTCTCTCTCTCTCTCTTTGAAATTCGCTTTTTGTCTTCCTTTTGTCCTTTGCCTATTGCTATGACAGATATGTTTTCCAGCAATATTTTTTTTTCTTCTGTCGGGTATTCCCATTGTTTGCGCAGCTACACGAGAAATTATTTAGTTCACCTAAAAATATTTTCATGGAAACTGCTTAGATGAGCTTTTCTTCTTAGTGCTCCGAATACAGAAAATTAAGTGCGTTACTAAATTAGCAATTTTGTTCCCATCCTTTTACTTTTGAAAGAGCGAAATACAACCACCATATCTACTCTAATTTTTTTTCTCACACTTTTTTTTCTGTTGAACTCTCTTCCAATCAATTGCTTCTCTGATAACTACAATCTTCAAACGTTTAAATGCAACGTCAATCGCCATCTTTTGTCTTCTTGAAACCCATTCATCTTTTATCTTTTCCGTAATCCTACCTATTCTCAATTTTCTCTTATACTTTCACTCCTTGTAACACCCTGTGTACTATTGGTATTACCACCTTTCTTGGGGTGAAATGCTTACAAAAAAAAAAGGTACAACTCAGAGAGACGTAATATTTGGTATAAAAGGGATTTGTGGAATATTTTTTATATGTTTTACTGCTTTAATCTCACTTTCTCCCAACTTAAGAGTTACACAGAAATTTCCTGAATACTTCATTGAAAGGGATTCTTGGAACACGAATCCTGGCTGGATTTATCTCCAAAAGAAAAATCGTATCCTCCTGATCGCCTATTCGAAGCACAGTTTAGTCGCCATCTCTGTTTAACATGTGAAGTCTGCGTCGCATTCACTCGATGAAAATGAATTTTCTTTTTGTGTTAAACATGATGCTTAAAATAATCGAACAGCAGAATAGTATTAGCAAACAAAATTGTTCCTCGTTTCCTAGACACCTTTTCTACTGGCTTATCAACTGCAAGTTCTCTCAAATATACATTCGTAATTATTAACTGCATCTTTTAATAGAGTTACCTTTTAGAAGAAAATCAAGCATTCTTCCAACGTATCAGTGCACGTGGATACGTACGTACTTAACTGAAAACCCCAAGTGTGAGTCCTTGTCTTGTATCCACCTAAAGCCAATAAGTATCTTGTTAAACATGTCTATCAAACGCCTCGTTATATATGATAAGGTACGATGCAAAACCAATTCGAAGTTCTAGGTATTCTCGACATCTATTTTTTATACTAACATTCCCTCACTACAAGGCCAAAGATACACTCAAGGTAGAGTGTTAGTGAACTAGATGTGGCATTTAAATGTAAGAGTGAGTAGAAGGAAGCGAAGATTATGAGGACAGAAAAAGACGGGGTTACCAATGTGCTGTGCAGGGAAGTGGATTTTTCACTGCGCCAATGTCACTCCCGAAGGTGACACAAGATCACTTTAAAGCGGATTTAGCGACAATACTCAAGCCCCATCGACACTTCCCGTTTGGGGTACACCTACAGCGTCGGATATTGACTCTAGCTCCCTACCGAAGGAGAGGTACTGCCTGGTGTTGGGGGCTCCTGGGTCTATTATTTTAAAACTTTCCCGGCAAAAGTGCCAGGGAAGTATCGACGCGGAGCTTTGTTCCACAAATTAGCGGTCCCAAGATGGTGGGGGAGATGTGTGAGATAATCTTCCTCCTTACAAATGGAATATGGAAGAAATGTGCGTAGTTCATAGACAATTTCTGCTATTGTGATTTGTAGGAAGAATGAGATCTTTGTCAAAAATAAATATTACCGATTGATTTTGACCAGCTCCTACAGAACGAAAGTGGGAAGAAAGGACTAAACGACAACTGCAAGAAGACAGAATACATGGTCGTTAGCAAAAGGGTGAGCCCAAAATGCAAATTACAAATCGGAGATGCCAGAATCAAACAAACAAAACAAATTAAGTATCTGGGAAGTGTTTTAACAGAGGACGGAACGTGCGATAATGAAAATCCGAAGGCGCATTGGGATAATGAAAGGAGCATTCCAAAAGCTAAGCAGAGTACTAAGAAACAGGAAAATTTCATTAGAAACAAAGAAAAGAGTAGTGTTACGTGATATATACCCTCATGTATGGCAGGGAATGTTGGAGAATCTTCGCAAGGATGAAGAAGAGACTTGAAGCAACGGAAATGTGTTTCTACAGAAGGATGCCAAGGATACCATGGATAGAATAACAACAGGTTTTAGAGAAAATGGAAACAAAAAAGAAACTTATACTTAACATCAGGGAGAGAGAGAGCTGACATTTCTAGGACACCTAATGAGGAAAGAGGGCTTGGAAAATCCGATACTAACAGGGCCGATTGAAGGCAATCAAGACAGAGGAAAACAACGCATAACCTACTTAGTGAGCTTGAGCAAATGGTTAGCGCAAGGATGGGAAACCTGATGCGCATGCGCCATAAGTGGCGCATTGAATGCTTACAAGTGGCGCATTGCATCCTTTTGATGAAAAGAAACTAAACCACTTCTACTCATTCATTTCAGTGATTTTATATTTATTGCACAACTTATATTTATTTCAAAACTTTTGGATACGCCCCTGGTCATAAGTATATATTTTTCAAATAAATAGATTTTGTTATATCTTTAAAATATGTCCATATTATTAGGTTGGTGCAAAAATAATGACGTAATAATGTCGTTTTTGACGTTAAAAATACGTTAAAAAACGACATTATTACGTCATTATTTTTGCACCAACCTAATACAACACGTACTGAAAGGAAGTGAATGTTTGTGTGGCGCATTTAAATTAATCATACAAAATATTGGCGCATGGAATCAAAAGGTTGGCCACCCCTGGGTTAACGGAACAGGCTTTGGGGAGAAATGACAAAAAGACAAAATTTATTAGGAGCTACAAAAGAGAGGAAATTATTGAGGGCCATAATCGCCTAAGGGGAAACGGCAGATGAAGAATAGCACGATTAGAGGTTTATCCCTTGCTTCCTTACTTAAGCTAATACAACACAGTAATCTTCTAACTTGAGTGGCTCTTAAGCCTTGTATTTGGTGAACATTAGTAAAAAAAATAAAAGAAGGAATTTAAATGATAGTACAAATAACTAGGCCTTTCCGCTGTCTGAGCAATCGGCCTCGTGCCACATTTTATGGATATTACGTGAATAAAATTGATTGTTCATGTTTTACGGTGCGGTGTATTACATTCTACGGGTGTAAGGTGTTCACATCCAGACAAAATTCGTTATGACGATAAACTACATCAGGTAGCAAGGCCTCTGATTCGGAGGTTTTTAAGAGCGTGGAGCCCCCCTCTTAATTTTTATTGTTCCCAGGTCTACCCAGACTCGGGGTGGTAACACCTGTTTGGGTCCCAGCTACGAGCAAATAGTTAACCCCAAAACTGGTGTCAAAACATTATGAAAATATAAAAATAGAAACTAAAAAGTACATTTTTAAAAACAATAATATTACCAGTAATACATTTTTTGAGAAAAAATATTTCCTGTAAACTATTTGACACTCGACAAAATCCCTCTTTACCAAAATGCGTCAATGAAACCTGATCTACAAACTGATTTTTGCAAAGAATACATATTCCATCCATACTAATCTTTCCTAAAAATCTTGTCAGCATTAAATAACCCATAGACTGTAAAACAAAATAAACCAAACCAATCCACAGACAAAATTTTTCCTCGGGCAAATTTATAAAACATTACAGGGTGCGATGGATAAATTTTAGTCTAAATTACGCAAAAATGAAAATAACACTGAAATCTCATTTTAACAGATATATTTACCAAAATTGCACAAAAGTAACTTGAAATAGTAAAGAGCAAATTTATTTAATAAAATCAATGTTGATTTCAACTACGGCCTCCAGACGTCTTCGGAGTCTTCTGCAACTCTTCTGGACGTTCTCCTTGTTTAAGATGGTGAATGTAGCAATAATCGTTGCCTTCAGTTCATCTTTGGTGTTACAAGGTTTTCTTTTGGTCTCTCGCTCAATGCCTCCCACACATAATAATCAAGGGGGTTGTAGTCTGGGGAGTTAGGTGGCCAGATGTAAGGGGTGATGTGGTTGCAGACATTGTTTAATAGCCATCACTGTGTCCCCCTGCTTGTGCAGCATTGTGCAGAGTCCTTTTGCCAGACATAGGGTCACTCAGTAGCCACGCCTTTGAACCAATGCAGTACTAACTCCTCAAGGCCATCACCAATAAATTTGGGAGTTCTTTTCTTATCTGAAAGACCAGCGTGAGTTTTCCGAGCTGTCGTACCTTCGTAAAGACACATCCAACTCTTTCCGAATCCTATGCGCCATCCTCAAATCGACACCCAAACATTCTTAAATGTTCGTATTGGAACTTCCTGTCGTTTCCAAATGTTTGGCAGAGTGAATCGCGTTATGGTGCTCTTTTTCTCACAGATGGTGACCAACCGACCTTACTATACTGTGCAGTCGACAAAATCAAAAACAAAGAACGCGCATGCGCAAAATTAAAAATATAAAATGGCGACAATTTACCCATTGCACCTTGTCTATGCACTGTTTTCTTTACGGCTACTTATTCTTCAATGCCGCCGTTGGTGGGGTTTTATTTAATGTGGTCGCTGGAGAGTTGATAGTTAACAACCAAGCCATTACTATTGTATTAAGTTCTGTATGAACCTGTAGGATTAATATTGCTTTGTGCTAGACTATACTGCGATTACGAAGCGACGAGACAGTTTTCTTCGTCTTTAAGAATTAATGATTATGTCGGCGCTGGAAGCTCGGGATAAAAAAAAATCGTTTTAATTGGTTTTGCGCAGACACGGAAAATCAGACTCAAAATCGATGAGAATAAAACATCAAATTTAATAGGAAACATTTTCATTCTTTCTAAACTTTCAAGTCCCTGCCAGTAAAATAAGCCGAACAAGAAAAAAGGTGGGCAGGCAAGAGAAATCCTAGATAGACAGTGAGAACCAAGACCTGAAGGGAAGACGATAGGGGAAAAAGAGACAGAAAGAATGAGAAAGAGAGAGAGAGAGAACTGAAGAGAAAAAATATAATGCATGTGAGAAGCTATGCGTCTCATTATGTCT